TCCGGACCCTTACTACTCTTCCGGCCTTCCGTAAAGCTACTAAGACCTGGCTGTTCCAGCAGGCCTGGGGCTGTTGATTAGTATCCAGCCCCACTCTAAGCAGTATGCATGTTGTGTAATTTTAATGATTGTATTTCTTATTTTAATTTTTATATATGTCCCTTGTCTTGTCTGTGAGCCGCCCAGAGTCTCTAGGGAGTGGGAGGCATACAAATGTCAATAAACCTAATTATTTTTTAGGCGTCAGCCAAATGGGCTGCAGGATACCTTTGGCTTTGCAATGGTATTGATGATTAATTGACAAAATCAGGAGCAGGCCTCATAACAATTATGTATTTACCACTGTTTTTCCCTTTCACCAGCACAAAAAATAAAATACATTTTGTTTCCAATCTTAATAATTTGTGGGCAAAGGACACACTTGATAAGGTATGGCGTATTTTGTAAGGGATTTGTGAGAAATCCTCACTTGATTTGTCATACATAAAAGTAAGTTGAGTCCATTAATACCAATAACCTAAGCTCATAGTATTTTCCAGTTCCTGTTCTTTCAAAGGAATCCTCCTATTCTGGACCTCTGCCTTTCACATGGTGGTTTTAAAACAGAGCAGTGATGCTTACATTTTCGGCACCGAATGCCCAAACCGGAACACAAATGCATACGTGTGTATGTGGTGCTTGCACATGTGTGCTGGAGTGCCGGAAACCCAAAGACCAGTGGTGCGGACATGCCTGTATTTTGGGCCGTTTTCAGGCCCTTTTTTGGGTGAAAAACGGTTGGAAAACAGCCATGGTTTTGGGCTGTTTTTCAGGCCGTTTTCAGGCTGCTTTTTGGGCCGTTTCCTGGCTGTTTTCCGGCACCCATGAAGACCAGATGGCTGGTGCCCATCTGCCTGCTAGAAACCAGAAGAGCAGCTGTTGAGGGTGCACGTGCCCATAGTGAGGGCTCTGCGCGCCACCTCTGGCACACGTGCCATAGATTCATCACCACGGACATAGAGTAATCTGGATGTAAGTTTCTCTCAGAGTTCTTCCGGGCTGGCACAGAACTGTTTTCACTGCATGTAGGAGATTAATGTATTATGCAACTGAGTTAAGCATATTTATTGAGAAGCAGATTTTTTTTACAGGTGCACATTGCCAAAGAGAAGATGGGAAAAAACAAGACGTTCCTTAGTAACTCAAAGCATGGATTCCAAACACAGAGAACAACAGGCCTGTCTTTTTGGATTTCTTCTTAATGTGAGAAATGGGCAAAGTAGGTAAAGGCAAACATAGGCGTTTCTGAGCAGGATGTGTTTATTTTGAATATTTACGGCTGCAATGACTTTTTGCAAAGGTTTGCACCATCATTTTCATGGGGCCCAAAGTTCAGTCAGGTGAAACACGGCCTCAAGTAGGGATTATGTGTTCACCGTATAAATCAACCAATAATCGATCAATCGTGTTTCTGCTCATGGGCAAAGCATTAGTAATTATGGTGGATTTGTGTGTATGGTTTGATGATCGGGAATGTGGCACTTCTTTTTAGAAACAGAGATTTGCATCTTGCAAAACTCTTTCATCTTCACTGTGCAAGTTAGGTACAGAACAAAAAGACTAACCAGAGTTTTTGTTTGTTTGTTTTATTATGCCTTTGAGTCAGTGTTGACTCCTGGCAACTGTCTGGAATAGTTCCTGCAGTTTTCTTGGCAAGATTTCAGGTGTGATTTGCCACTGTTATTCTCCTAGAGCAGACAGAGAGTGACTGGCCCATGGTTACCCACTTGGCTTTATGCCTAAGGTCAGACTAGAACTCACGATCCCTGGAATTCTAGCCTGGTGACTTAACCCACTGGTGTCAAACTCGCCATGGCATGTTGCCATTACGTGACATTTTGCCACTTTCACAAAGCTGGAGTGGGCATGGCCTGCGCAAGATGCATCCGATGGGCGGGCCGCCAGTTTGACACTCCTGACTTAACCCATCTCCCTCCCTCCCTCCCTCCCTCTCTCTTTCTCCTCTCATTATTTCTGCACACAGTTATACTTAAGAGTAGCAAGTGAGTCAGAAGCAATGGCCCATTTGAAAGAAGTAAAGTTAGTCCTCGACGTGTGACTGCAATTGAGCCAAAAGTTTCTGTTGTTAAGTGAGTTTTGCTCACCTAAAGTCATTTTATGACTTTTCTTGCCATAGTTGCTAAGTGAATCACTGCAGTTGTTAAGTTAGTAACATGGTTGTTAAGAGAATCTGGCTTCCCCATTGACTTTGCTTGTCAGAAGGTCGCAAAAGGGGATCACGTGATCTCGGGGCACAGCAACCGTCATAAATATGAGTCAGTTGCCAAGCGTCTGAATTTTGATCACACGACCATGGGAATGCTATAATGGTCATAAGCATGAAAAACAGTCACAAGTCACTCTTTTCAGTGGCATTGTAACTTCAAACAGTCACTAAATGAACTGTTGTAAGTCGAGGACTACCTGTAGTGAAGAATCAGTCCAGTGGTGAAGGAGTTGCTGGAAAGGAAAGATGGATGTTTTGTTTGCTATTTATTGGTTTTATAGATGGATTTCATCATTATATGCATTTTTATTTCACGAGAATCATGCTGTTTAGAATCAGAAGATTAGATAGTGTATCAATTTTTTCTCCCATTTAATTATGGCTGATTTTTAGAGACTCCCTGGACAAGTCAAAGTTTTCAGAAGTGGTTTGCCATTGCCTCCTTCCTAGGTCTGAGAGAGAGTGAACTAGCAAAGTCATCAATTTGGTTTTGTGGCTTAGGCGGAACTAGAACTCACTATCTCCCAGTTTCTAGCCTGAAGCTTTAACCACTACACAAATGGTTCTCACTTGAGTTTAGTATGTATTTATCATTCAGTGTTCAAAATGCATCATTCTCATATAATTCATTATAACTAGCCCTGTAATATGTCCCATAAATACTGTATTTTGCTAAAGAATTTGGTTAAAAAAGAAAAAGCTGCACAAACTTTTTAAATCTAACTTTACTCAAAACTTTTTATATAGATTTTATACAACATAGCCCTGTTGCCTAGTAAAACTTTAATTCAAGATAACGACTTCTATAAAAAGTTAGTACCTTGCCACTCCATCAAGCTGCCCTTGCTCATATCTTTAAACTAAACAAATACATCCTGACCCCAAAATAAGCATGATGGAATTACAGGCACTGCTATTTGCCTGAAAATGTGGTTGGAAGCATCGTTTTAAATACAAGATAATAGCCTGGTAGAAACTTTCTTGTTTAAAACAAAGGAGAAGGTTAGTGGAATCTTCACTGCCTGTTCTACAATTTGAGATAGATTTTATTTTTATTTTTCCAGTTGAAAATTGCATACTGATGTTGCTTCTTTTCCTAGTCATCCAGTAAGTGTAAATTAGGCCTTGCCTCTGGATACTGAATTCAAAAGAAGTGCCCGCATTATGTTAACAGTCCATTTGGAAAACCTCGGATAAGTTTCTCAGTGTGGCATAAACATCCACATTGTGTTAAAATCCTGGTTTACTCAACCCAATGGCAAAGACGACACCAAGGAAACATACATTGCAGAAAAAACAATTACTAACAACCTGCCTTCCATTGGGGACCTGTATACTGCACAAGTCAAAAGGGGGGCTGTGAAAATATCTACAGACCCCTCACATCCTGGACATAAATTGTTTCAACTCCTAACCTTAAAACGACTATAGAGCACTGCACACCAGAACAACTAGAGACAAGAATAGGTTTTTTTCCCTAAATGCCATCACTCTGCTAAACAAATAATTCCCCCACCACTGTCAAACTATTCACTAAGGCTGCATTACTATTAGTCTTCTCATTGTTCCTATCACCCTTCTCCTCCCAGTTATGACTGTAACTTTGCTGCTTGTATCCTTACGATTTATACTGATGGTTTCCTAACATGATTTGATTGCTTATTTGTACCCTATGACTATCATTAAGTGTTGTACTTATGAGTCTTGACAAATGTATCTTTTATTTTATGTACACTGAGAGCATATGCACCAAAGACAAATTCCTTGTGTGTCCAATCACACTTGTTGCCAATAAAGAATTCTATTCTATTCTATTCTATTCTATTCTATTCTATTGCAAAGTTTGCTGGTTCTAGCTTAGTATGAAGTCAGCTATTGTGATTTGTAAATCCTGGTTTATAGAAGACCCTCTTGGTGTGAATGCAGCCTATAAATATTAGCCAAGATGTTTCTAAACCGATTTTTTTTTAAAAAAAACAAACACTACCTTTTACTGAATTAAAGGCGATTTAGTGAGAAGTTAATCTGGGGCGGGATGTGCGATCACGAGCAACGGACCTCTATGCGCGATCAGGTAGAGACACACAGATTTCCTTGGGTGGGGGGGGGGGAAGTAACGGGAACTTCACCCTAGACTCCCATCGCGAGCCTTACAAGCGAGAAGCAAACATCCCTTGGACTGTAATGTATCTCTTCTAAAAGTTGACTTGGCCGTCGGCTGTTGCAGCCTCCCCCTCCTCCCCCCCCCTCTCGCATTGTAGCTGGAAAGGAGGGCTCCCTTTGTTTGCTAGGGGCGAAAGGTCCGTTCGACTCCAGCCATCGTTCGGATAATCTGCCTGGTTTCGGGGCGGAGGCGGAGAAGAAGAGAAAGCTTGAATAGCCGCTGAATTTGTTCACACGCACCCACTTGTCGCTGCTGCGGTCGCAAACTTCTGGGCTTTGTTGCTAAAGAGCTCCTTCCTTTCCCCTTCCCGGACGCCTCGCCCGCCTCCGATTCGCGAACAGATTGAAGTTCGTGGCACTACAAAGTGTGTGTGTGTACGTGTGTATACACATGAATGAGTTTGCAAGAAATCGGGGGGGGGGGGGTAAAGACTCCACACACCCCAATTCATCTTCGGGACCGATACCATGGCTGTCAAGAGAAACCAGGGTGCCAGCCCACCCCGAAATGCCACCCCGGCAGCCCCGAGTAACTTTTCCCGCCCCTGCCCCGCGCGCTTTTTTTTTTTACCTTCCTTCGGGCTCCACAGCAGCCCGGTTTACTCTCCCTGCAGCCCATTCCTCTTCGCTTGTGTGGCTGGGAAGGAGTCCTGCGGGGGTCAAGGGGTTAAGACCAAGGGCACCGGCGGCAGCGGCAATCCTCGCCGTCCCAGCTGCCGCCGCCAGCGGCGGCAGGCGAGGTCTCCATCTCGCTCGCTGCCTCCTCTAAGACCCTGAAACGGAACCTGAAAACAGCACGTTTCAACTTCATGCTTAGGCAGCCGAGCGCCGTAAGTATCAGAAGAAAAGCCCTTGTCGAAAAAGTCTACCGTGCTTTCGTTTTCGCACAAAAACAGATACCGCGGTCAGGTCCCGCTGTCCAGATGGTAACCTTTCCTGGTCTGAGACTAGCAACTAGTCCCCCCCCCCAGACCTTAATTAGCGCTTGGATGGGAGATCATTTGGAAATCCCTGGGGATTTAAACTGGACAGTTGAAAAAGGAACCCAGAAAAACCAAAACCAGCAAATCGGCTTCCTATTGTTGCCAAGAAAACCCATGAATTTGTTACTGCAGTTCCTTATCATTAAGTTCAACGTGAAAGAGACTTTATTTTTGTCTTAATGATATCATGATGTGTGTGTGTGTGTGTGTGTGTGTGTGTGTGTTTGTGTC